CCCCAAAACCCCAAAACCCCAAAACCCCATTTAATAAGATTTGAGGTAATTCAGAATATAAATTTACTATAGTAATATGATTTATAAATATATTTGTACCGCACATTGTTTATCTTATACTTTAACTTTGCTGATAAAAACATTTTCATTATAACTTAATATTTATGAGTAATCTTCTCTGATTAATAATAGATATTATAAAACTAATACTTTGAAATTAAAAAATATAACAGTATGATACTAGATAACAGATTCTAAATTGGAAGGAAAATCGGAAGAGGTTTATCAGGAAAAATATATGAAGCTATTGATTAGAAAAGTAATCAAAAATGTGCAGTTAAATTTGTAATATATATATTTATCTTTCTCACATTCTGATAGTTTACTTAAGCAACTGATTTTTAAACTGAAAAAATAGTCTACATGAAATTACAAAGATAAAAACATTCAAAATAGGGAGAACTTTTTATATGTTCAGGATTATCAAATGAAAATCAATATTATATCGCTTTGAAATTATTGGGACTGACTCTAGCAAATAAAATTATTGTGTCAGAATAATAAATGACTTATCAATAGATTATTTAATTAGGAATAGAACTGGTAAAGTTTATATCATCTGATACATTGATTATTATAGATAGAATAAGTAAAAAACTTGCATGATGTTGGATTTATTCACAGAGATATCAAGCCAAATAATATTTTATTTAACAATCCATTAATTGAAGATATCCAAGATTATTCATATTCTGAAGTCAACCTTATTGATTATGGTATATCTAAGAGTTATTTAACCAAGGATGGATGGCATATTTTGAATGAGAAATAATCAAGATTCACAGGAAACTTATTATTCAGCAGCGTTTTTCAAATGAGATTTTAAGGTACAGCATTTACTATTCAATATTAAATTTTTACTCAATTAATATAGGACCTTCTCGCAGAGATGATCTTATTTCAATATTTTACTTGATGATGATGTTGAAAAATTTATTTTTACCATGGTAAAGTTATGACTCTTTTCCGTTCACAAAAGAAAAATTCAATAGCGTGGTGGCTCTTAAAGAAGAATTTTATTAGAAACTATGCCAAGATAGCCATGCTTGTAATATTATGTCTTGTTATATTTTAAAGGTGTTTTGTAAAGATTGCTTATATATTGCCACGAGATGTAGTATAGCGCAGAACCTAATTATCAATCTATTATCTATTAATTGAAAAGGCAGCTAATTGAAAATTAGATTTTAAGCAAAAGTGTAGGCTTAAGAAGGACAGAGGCAATAATAAGTTGAAAATTATAGTGTAAACAATCCAGTTAGCCCAATGAAGACCCAAAGTAATTTTCTTCTCATAAATAGTTTAGACAAAGAAACATTACTAGTTTAATCATATAAAAAATCATAGTTTAAAAAGAAGGTTGAAAATTCTTTAAAAAATCACCTAAATTAAAAACCAATCATACCTTTCTCTAAAACAAATTTTCTAACAAGGAATAATATTCAATACTTCTTGAACATGAAAAATTCTAGTGAGATAGTTAAAACATCTTTGAAGGAAAAGAACCTTGGAAAAATAAGTGCGTAAATATGTGATAACATAACTTAGAAATTTTAAGAAATAGATAAAGCTCTTATTCTTGATAAACAAAACATTTGTAACAAGGTAATTTAGAACGAAATTTAGAAACAATGTCATTATTTTGATCTAAAATGCTGATTGAATTCTCTAAATAAAATTGATTGGAGAGAAAATCTCAAATAAAAGTCTCCTAGTAACAAAAAAATCAAAGTAAACCCCAGATTTAGGAAATCATCTTCAGTAATAATAAATAGGTTTATAGATTTGAAATTAAAATAGTTCGTAAATTAAGATTCTCTCGATCTTGATATTGCAGATGAAGAAATATATAATAATCAAACTTAGACTAATTTCAATATGGTCCTTGTACCTAATTCAAATGATATAAAGAAAATAAGCAATTTCTAAATATCTCATTAAGACAAAAATGTCAAAGCATTATTATAATAGAAGGCATATCCAAACTTATAATTTTATTGAGAGTTCATTTTGAAGTTGAATAAATATTAATTAGATAAAAAGAGATTAATATATTAAGTAGGTTAAGCTTATCTAGGAATTAATTTTTATTCTAATTTTTATTGAATTCACTTACTTTCAAATATCCATTGTTTTCTGTATGAAGGGGGTTTTGGGGTT